ATATTCCATCTCAAGATCTCACAGTACTTATCACATCCCCTGGCAAATTCTTCAGAATTCTTTTAAGATAGTATTTAAATAATAACTGTAGGTCACCAATTCAAGAAAGGCCAAAATTTGGAAAGAACAGACTTGGGCTCCAGGCCTGGCTCCATCACTCAGCCAGTGGGAACTGTTGACTCTGTTTTCTCCAATTAAATGGAGATAAATTTCAACTCTCCAAGAGAATCAGATAAGATTATAGATGTGAAAAAACTAGTAAAGTCCTAAAGCACTATCTACATAAGGTGTGACTGCTTTGAAACTGAGATGTTCTAAACAAGACAGTGTTCAGGGTTCAAACTCCAGCTAGAGATGTTTTAGAGACAAGGACTTTTCCTACCAGACAGAGCAGTGGGGATGTTGATACAAAGAACACACACTCAGACTCAGATACAAAGAACACACACTCAGACTCAGAAGTGCCACTGGGAGGAGCTCACAGTGAAGAGAGAAGTACATGTTGTCACTCAGGCACTTTGAGGGCACCCAAAAGCCCTGTTCAGATGACACTTAGGCCAGAGCTTTTCCAGCTTTTCCTCTAAAAACCACAAGTAAAAGAACTCCATAAATGAAGTGAAAGGACAAGCTGTCAGATTGGGTGAAAATATATGCAGGGAATAAACAAAGGTTAAGTATGCAGAATATATAATCACTATAACTCATTAAGAAAAATGAACAATAATATGAACAGGCAATTTTTATAAGCTGAAATACAAACGGTCAATAAATACATGCAATGAGGCAAAGGCTCAGGCCTCCTCGCTGTCAGGCCCCACGAGCAGCAGCGGCTGGGCATTCTTGCCCTTGTCGTGCCAGCACACATCAAAGAAGGGGTACACAGGCCCAGGCAGGCGCTCATGGAAGGCAAAGAGCAGCTCCAGTGTGTCGGCATCACTGGCACCATAGAAGGAGAGGACACCATCACTGAAGCTCAGATAGATACCAATGCGCGACGGCCGCCTGTCTGGGATGCGCAGGGCACGCGGCTCCTTGGCTTCCACGTGTGCCTCCAGGATCTTGCCATCACGCAGGCCGAGCAGCCAGAGGCCCTGCGAGGGCACAGCGTGCAGCCTGCCACGGCGGCTGGCCTGCGCCGCAATCACACCGAGAGCCCAACGCGGCTTGTCGCCCACCTCCACCTCCCAGTAGTGCTCGCCCTCTGAGAGCTGCTGGTGCGCCACCACGGCCACGGCCTTGTCAAACTGGCACGGGTCCTCTCCGGCCGGCGGCGCCTTCTGCTCACAGCACTCCACGCGGCGGCCAGAAGGAGACAGCACCAGGCTCGGGTGGGCAGAGCTCGGGTCAAAGGTCAGCTCCTTCAGCGCTGCCAGAGGGAGATGGGTCAGGCCCCCAGGGGTGTTTGCCTTCCTGCGAGCCTTCTCCCAACTTGCCTGCTAGCGTTGTCTCTCTAATCCTCCCAACATCTCTGAGAGGTGAGCCTCTGCTTACTGCTTGGACGGAAAACTATACCTTTCAGAGCTTCAGTTTGCTCAGCTATAAAATGAGGCCATAATTGCCGCCTTCCAGGGTAGTGGGAGGATTAAGTTGAGACAAGGCCCATGTGACTCACCATCTAAGGCCCCAGGTCACAGAGCAAGAGACAGTCAGGAAATCCCCAGGCCAGCCCCACCTCACGGGGCTGTGTGACCTCACTCAGTCCTGACCCAGTCTCTGGCCCTTAGTCTTCCCTTGGATAAAAGGGGATAAAAGGTCCCAAGGGGCTACACCAGTCACCTGTACAGGTCCTGGAACTCTGTAACCATTAGCACCTCGATGAGCTCTACTTGGAAGGAGAAAAGTTTAGTCCCTGGGCCCCAGAAGCCACAGGCCACCAGAGGCAGTGTCTGACCCAGGCCCCTCCCAGAGTTCCAGCTCTGCAGACCCTCGGACCCTGACTAGCAGGGATAATCATTTCCACTGTCCAGAGGGGCAGGGATTGGCCAGGACCACACAGGGCTCAACCTCAGGCCCCAGCCTCCCCTGCTGCCCACAGCTACAGCCAACTTTTGGTAAGCAGTGAGTGTCCTCTCCATGTCAGCCCCCTGCTGCAACCCATGCCCTCAAAGGTCCTTCTCCAGGCACATGTTACAAGGGTGCAGGGAAAAGCCCAGACGTAACAGGGCAATGGGCACCTCCTTAGATGACCTCCCCAATTGGGATTGGGAGGCCTCTCTGTGGTGGCTGGGGCCTTCCATCAACCACACATTTATTTACCAACACAAACCTGGAGTCAAGCCCTCCAGTACCTGGCATCAGAGCCCGGAACATCTTCCTCCACACTTGGAATTTGAAGTCATCTGAGATGATAGGCAGCTGGATATCCAGGCGGGCAGGTGGTGGTGACTCTGACAGGATCTTCTGCAGCCTGGGTGTGGGAAGTTAGGGGTGGGGACTATGAAGGGAACTCCTGGAGGAGGCATGGGTTGGGGGAGGGCAAGAGGCAACACCCGGAAGAGAGGAGGACAGGGGCTGTGGTGGAGTTCCAGCATCTCCCCCACATTGACAGCCTAGCTTTAATTTCCTCTTAGAGTTTTCATTTGGGAAGATGAAAAAATTCTGGAGATGGATGGTGATCGTTGCACAACAAAAAGGTACTTAATTCCACTGAACTTATGTACACTGAAACTTGGTTAAATTGGTAAATTTTATGTTATGTATATTTTACCACAGTTTATTTTTTTAAAAACCTTCTGTTTGGATCATGTTGAAACTCTTCAACCCTTTACAACTTACTCCTGCCTGCCACACCAGCCTCATCTTCTTCCCCTCTGGCCATTCCTGCCACTGCCGTTTCCCTCTGCCTGAAGTGCTCCTCCCCCTGCTCTCCACCTAGCTGACTCCTGTTTATTCCTCCAGCATCCAACTCAAAAGTACACTCCTCTAGGGGACCTGCCTGGGCCACCTCCTGCCCTCCACAGCAGCCCTGAGCACACAGCAGTGCTGGCAGGCCTGCCATGTTGTCCCCAGCACTGGTCTGGGAGGTCCCTGAGGAGAAGGACCAGGTCACCGAAAGCGAAGGGAAGCCACAGTGTGTGGAATGAGAGCATGCAGGTGTATTGTGAGTCGAGGGTGAGCCAGCCAGCATCCCTAAAGACTAGGGCAAGATGGGAGAAGGGGCAGGGCCAAACTGATCTCACCTGCTGGTCACCAGGCAGTATTTCTGGAGAGAGAGAAAAAGAGAATGAAGGTGAGGCAGGCAGGAGAGACACTGGAGAATTCTGAGGATGAGTGGACCACTAGGAATGCTGAGTGTGAGGACAGGAAGAATCAGAAAGCCAAAAGAAACCCAGAATTCAAGTCCTCCCACAGTCCTTTACTTCTGTGTGAATTAGAAAATGTATCCCCCTTTCTCAAGAAACTAATTCCCCCAGGCAGAATGTCCTAATAAATATACAAATCTACAACATCTATGTTATGAATGGTACCCCCTTGGATATAGTGTCCTTGCACAGTGTCCCACCTAAACAACCATGAGAGCAGTCCTGGGCCCATCCCTCCTGGATGTGTGACCCTGGCTTATCCCTGTCCCTCTCTGGACCTCAATGTCCCTGTCTGACAATGGGATGAGATCTCCAGGGCCTCAATCCTGGCTAAGGGCAGAGAGAGAAGATCATCCAATGCTCACCATGAGGAACTCAGTCTGTGGCTTGTCCGCCACCTCCTCCAGCACCTTCTCCATCTGTCGTAGCTGCTCCAAATAAGAGTTCAGGCTCCCCAGCTCCCGCCGCAAGGCAACCCCTGCCTCACCCCGCACACGTTCTGCCTCACAGTCCAAGGAGCCCTCCAGTGCAGCCAGGAACACCCTCATCTTGCCCAGCTGCTCCCCCACAGCCCCCCGGAACTGACGCACCATCTCCTGTGGGGGCAGACAGGCACAAGCTCTTGGCTAGGGACCCGCAGTCTGGACCCTGAGTTCCCAGGCTCTGTCACATTGAGCCCCTCACCTCCACCTCCATCAGCTGCTGCTCCAGCAGGGCCACACTCTTTTCCTTGCGCATACATGCCTCCTGCAGCTGCAGCTTCTGCTGCGGGAGCTGTGTCTGCAGATGTGAGGCATAAAGAAGTAAAGCTACTGTCCCCTGCCCACCAAACCCACACCTCCCATCCTGAACCTGCCTTCTCTGGTCAGCCTCAAGTGCCACTTCCTCCTCCAGTAGGCTGGCATCCTACCATCCCCAAACCCACAGGCCCTTGCCAATACTGGTCCTGACGCCTACAATGCCTTGCCTTCTCATTATCTCTAGCCTTGCCTTCCCTGATCCCATCCCCTCAGCAGCCAACCCCCAATGAAGGTCTTCGTGAGGATGACAAACACAGATGCAGTTTAGCTGCCTCCTCCTGAGGGGTACAAAGGTTGGCACACAGCAGACTTCAGGGGTAAGGGTAGGGTGTGTGAAGAAGAAATGCAACTTCCTCTACTCTTGGACTTCACCCCATACTTAAAAGCAGAACATTAACAAACCACCCCAGTCAGCCTCCCTGCACACCTATGGGCTCTGGGGGTAGGCAATTTAGTAAAAATGCTGCATCAACCAAACATGTTTATGGGCTGGGCCCTACCCTAGGCCTGTCAGTTTGTGACTCCTGTAACGCAAGTGTACGGAAGCTCCTAATACCTCCTGCCAAAGCTACTATTTGCTGGGAGGCACATTGCCCTGGGCTCAGATGGTTTCAGTCCAGCCTCCATGGCTTCCAACCTCAGAATGGAAGCAGTCATCCCCACCTCACCAATGGTTGTTACAAATTGGCAGCCTCCTCCCCTCCCCCTCTAAGGGAAACTGGGAGAACCCACCAGGCACTGTTTGCTGAGGAGTCCCTGCATGGTGGGAGCTATACGATTGAACGGAGTCCATGGCCCCCTGGCCAACTGCCAGGTCAGTCTTCTCCTGGGGACAGTCCTTGCAGGCAAGAGCCCCGCCTGCTGCAGTACAGGGAGTGCCTGGTGGCTCTTCCTGCAGGGTCATCGGAGGTTCACAGAAGGCAGGGCTGAGCCATGGGGAACAAGCGCGACGCCATCCTGGACGCACTGGAGAACCTGACAGTGACTGAGTTCAAGAAGTTCAAGCTAAAGCTGGGATCTGTGCAACTGCGTCAAGGCTTTCGGACCATCCCACGAGGGGTGCTCGGGCCGCTTGATGCCATGGATCTCACTGACAAGCTGATCGCCTTCTACTGTGAGGACTACGGGGCAGAGCTCACAGCAGCCGTGCTATGCGACATGGGAATGCAGCAGGAGGCAGCGCAGCTTCAGGGGGTGAGTGAGGGAGCCCCCGGGCCTAGCAGATCCCAGTCAATTACTTTTGAGCCCTGGCACACACATGTTCTCTGGACCCAGACCCTTTTCCTCACCAAGGACCCAGGCATCCAGTCGCGCCCCCACTATCCTGTCCCCCTCCTACATCAAGCTCCTTCCTGGGATTGCCCCTTCAAACTTCTAGCCAGCCCCTCCCTGCGGCTTAGGACTGGGCTAGTGTAAGTCCTGACAGATTGTATCCTGCCCACCCTGAGGCTCCCGGGCCACTTGGTGTCCTATCTCAAGGACTCTGTTCTTTCTGCACAGATAAAGACTGACAAGGTTGGAAGTTCTGGGGTTCTCAGCAAAAGTGAGCCTGGGTTGGGAGGGCTCCTGGGAGGAGGAGGTTCCTGCACTCTGCTAGGAGACCACTGTCTAGCACTAGGCAGGACTGGAGAAGGCAAGAGTGGGAGGGTCGGTGAGACTGGGCCCCTGGAGGAGTCTGGGGGCTTCGAATACTGAGGACAGGGTCTACCGCTCTAGCTGTCTGAAGGCCAAGGAGAACGCTGATGTTTGTGGGCAAAGATAACCTGCAGAAGCCCACCTTGAGCACCAGTCGCAAGAAGACCATGGCAGCTTCTCCACCACTGGATGGAGGACTGCCACAAGCCTCCACATCCTGCCTCCTCCCGCCCCTGCACCTGTTGTTTATTCTTTCAGAGCCCAATAAATGTTGCATGACAGACCTTCCTGGGCCTCCTGCAGCTACATGTGTGTGATTTACCACACATATGACATGGACAAGCCAGTGTGTGCCTTAGTCTCCACTTGCCAATGTCTGGGTGTCTCTGCTGGGCACCTGTGAGGATCGCAAACCTCGTGGCATGCACATCTGTGTGTGTGCTCTGGAAGCGCAGGACTTCCACCTCCAACCAGAAAACAGCCTGGGCCTGGGGTCTCTGTGCCAACCTGGGCCTGAGCACAGACGTACATACCTTGCCCTCCCTGCCTCCCCTTCAGTTAGGCCCTTGCTTGTGGCGATCCAGCCGCACAAGTCCAGTAGTTCGTGGGATGCATGGGCCTCAGCCAAGCAGCTGTGCTGCCCCAGCCATCCCCAACCCCAGCCACCTGGACACTCCCTGAATATCGCCCCTCACCACTTCTCGGGCTACACCCAGCATACAGGCCTTCACGCAAAGGCTGAGAGCACCCACTCAATCCTCCGCTACGCACCCCAGCTGAGCCCAAAGAATCTGGGTTTGTGCCACACCAATTCCACCAGGACTCTCCTTCGCACTTGGTCTGGGCTCCTCTCTCCGCCAAGTCTGCCTTTAGCACGTCAGCCCCCTATTCTCTAGGCGCCTCGCCCCACCCCCGTCCACTGCCACTCTAGGCACCTTGGGCCGTGAAGCTCAAAGTCCAAGTCCAGGCAGCTCCCTCTTGATCGGCCAGGCCCCGCGCCGACCAACACTCCTGTTCCCACCACCCCAAGTAGAATCTGCCCAGGCCCCTCACCTTGAGGCGTGCATGGGCTTCCGCGGCGGGCAGCAGGCGGTGGCCGCGGTGAGAACCGAGAGAGGCGCACACGCCACACACCAGCGCGCGGTCCTGCTCGCAGTAGATGCTGAGCGGGTCTAGGTGCTCCTCACAGTGGCCCTGCGGCACCTGCGCCAGCCCCTCCACCAGGCGTGCCAGCTGCAGGTTAGTGCTAAGCACCTGTGGCCGCGTGGGTGCCTGGCAGCACGGGCAAGGCGCAGTGCCGTCTGCTGCCGGCTCCCCAGCCACGCGGTTCAGGCAGGCGCGGCAGAAGCTGTGGCCGCATTCGGCCGTCACCGGCGCGTCGAATAGCTGCAGGCACAGAGGACAAGACAGCTCCTGGTGCAGGAGGCCAGGTGCAGCAGACATGATGGGCCTGGGTAGAGGAGCAGTCAGTCACGGAGGCTCAGCGGGGTCGCGAACCCGGCCCAGGCCAAGACCCAGCCAAGTCTGTGGACAGGCAGAGAGGAGCCTCAGCCTACACAGGAAGGGACTGTGGTTCTGGCCAAGTAGGAAGGGGCGCTCAGTCTCAGTCCCAAAGGCAGCCTCAACTGCATTTCTCAGCCCCAGTCCCCAGAATAACCCCTATCAAGCACCTTGTCCAATTACAATTCCTAAACCAGATTCAGGATTGTAAATAGTCTTACCTACCCACTGTCCTTCCTCTGTCTTAGACCCAGGTCTCAGCCCCACCCCCAAACTCTCCAGAGCCCCCATCCCCTCTCCCTCACCCTCCAGGATCCTCAGCCCTCCCTTCCTCCACAGCGCCAGGCCCACAAGACCCAGAGGACTCACAGGTCTGGTTAGAGATGTTGGCCAGAAAGAGACTCCCAGGAGGCCCAGTCAAGGTCACACCTAACCCAAGGGGGTCAGAGCTGGGTCTGAAAAGAGGCCATGGGCAAGCAGCAAGCTCAGAACAAGGACAGGGGACTCACAGGGGCAGCTAGCAGTGGACACCACGGGTGATGGGCACCCAGTGAATAGGAGACAGAGATTCCCAGACTGAGTACTGTCTCCAGGACTATATTTAGCTGCCCTGCCCACCTCCTCCCATCACTTCTGGAAATTATTCTAAAAGTGGTCATCAGACAAGCACATGTCGAGGCCACCTGTCCTGGCCCATCTCACTGTCCCCTCTCCTGCCCAGCCAGAAGCCAGAGCTCAGAACCGCAGGGAGACAGGCTCCTCTCATAGCACAGAAAAGATAGAAACATGGTTTGGAGGAATCTCTGCTTTCTTCCCAGCCCCCAGGATATCCCTTTCCAGTTTCTGGCTCCTCCCCAGATTGTCACCCCAAGCTTATGGCTCTCTAAGGTCACACTGACAGTTTTATTTCCTACCTGCAGGAGGAGAGGACCTCACCCAACCTAAAAGACTTTCTACCCACAGAGCTGAGAGGAGAGAGACTCTTGTCCCTGCTGGTCTCTCCAGGGCCCAGCCCAAGCCCTAGGGCAAAGTGGGTCTCCCTAAGTGCTTGGAAAATGAATGCTTGAGGGACAGCTGAATAAATGAATGAACTGAAGCCAGAGCCTGCAGCTCAGAAGTCTACTCTACCCGGGAAGCCTCAGGCCTTCACGTATGCTTGGCCTTCAAATTCCAGTTTTAAGTTTCATTCATAATAAAAACTTAAATCCTCACTGTGGCCCAGAAGTCCCTACCTAATCTAACCCCATTCATCTCTCACCCTCTCCCTCTACTCACTGCACCTGGGCTTCCACCTTGCCCTCCCCTCTACCTGAAACACTCCATGGCTCCCTCCACACCTCCTGCAGTCTTTTACCCATTATCACCTTTTCAGCTAGGCATTTCCTAACTCCCTAAGCTCACATCTTCCTTCCCTACTTTATTTTTCTCCATAACATTTATCGCCATCTGAAATGCAATGTATTTTACTTGTTTTTTTTTTTGTCTTGTTTCCTCCTACCAGAATATAAATTTTGTTTACTACTTGTCTCCAACTTAGTATAAAGTGTATGGCACACAGCAGATGCTCAATAAATACTTGAGGAGTGGCTAAACATATAAATACATTTGGTCCTTCTCTTTGGCTTCTCAGTCACACTTTCTCTCAGCCTTTATCTGGATCTGCTAATTTCTCCCTGAATTGCTCTCTGTCTTTCTTTATCTGAGTTTCTGTTCCTCTTTCAGTTAACCCCCTTTGGACTCTCTGTCTCTCTCTTGGGTTTTTAATGTTTATTTTTATTAATTTTATCCCTAATGTGCACATGAAGTGCTCTGATCAGAAACAGACTTATTAAATACCTCCCAAGAAACAGTAAATATTTGTCCCCCTGTGCCCTATGATGATGCATTGAGAGGCTGTCACTTGTCCTATGAAAGTAGCCAGATGCCTCATTGGTGAGTAACAGGAATTTTTATTCTTTTCCCTGCTTATAAAGGAGAAGGAGGCAGCTGCCCCCTCCCCTCCTTAAAAGTCTTCTTACTCCAGATCTTCAGTAAGTAAATATGTTCCCAGGAGCCAGATAGCTCCTTGTATGCCTTGGCTTTTATGATGAGTCTTTGGACTTGTCTCCAAATTCTGCTGCTCATTCCTTCTTGAACACTTGAAGCTCTTGCACGTTACATACTGGCCCACTTAGAAAGCTACTCCAGGCTTCCTGGAACCTTGAAACCTTGTTCAGGGTGTAATGATTTGGGCCCATGAGGAAGAGATAAGAGCAATTTTATTATTGCTTTGTATCAGAGCAATTAACTACACAAATGACTGCAGACATAATTGTCATGGTAAGTGAAGGGTGTCAGAAGTGAGGGTTTTTTACTGGAAACCCTGAGAAATCCAGCAAAGTGTGACTTCTCCAAACAGCAGTGGAGTGGGAATGAGAGCATATCTGGAGCTGTCTCTGAAGCCACAGGCCATTTCACTTCAGTTCAGCAAGTCACCATTCCAAATGTAGATCTCTCCTGGAGTTTCCATCACTGCCAGGCTAGGACTGAAGGTTTTGGTCAATAGGAAAGCCTGCCCGGACAGTAACAGTCAACTCAATCTCTCTCTGTAAATGGGCCAAGTCTGACCTCCAACCCATGGAAGGGACACTGATTGTCTACAGCAGATTGAAGGACAAGACAGAGCAGAAACCATGTTCAGGAGAGGAAGAGATGGGGATTAGTGTTGCTAACTCTAAGACAGAGCTCTGGGAAGTCACTGAGGCCCAGAGCTCAAAGGGGACAGATTTCAGCTTGTCCTAAGGGAGAGCTTCCCAATAGCTGGAGTGATAAGTGCCATGGGAGGTCAGAGCTCCTTGTATTGGATAAATGCAAAGCAAAGCCAGAAATCCCCCAATTAGGGCCACTGAGGAAGCAGGTACTGAATGTGGGTGTCACAAGCTCATACTGGATGCCCCTGGAAAGATTACGTACCTCTCAGGCTTCAGCATCTTCAGCCAGAATATAAGGATAACTAATCCTACTTATAGTATCCTATAGGACTATTATGAGGATTAAAACTAGATAATATACCAACTAAACACCAGGATAGTGTGCTGACACCTAGGGGCTTAGGAAGTGGTGACTGCCACCACTAGATTCAAATCTTGACTCTGTTCTTTCCTTGTTGTGTGACAATGACCTATCACTTAGCCTGGTTTTCTCATCTATAAAATAAGGATCATGATATTATCTAGACTACTCGATTTTTATAAAACTTCAACAAGTTAAGTCATATAAAGATCTTGGAACAATACCAGGTCCATAGAAAATTTTCAATTAATGTTGGCTATTGATATTATTACAATTATTACTAATTGTTCCAATAAATTTTTGCTACAACCCTGTAAGGTCAGTAACAACATCCCTACTTTACAGACTGGGAAACTAGGGCTCAGAAACTTTAACAATGACAAAAGCTCCTACTATGAGCCAGGCCTGTTCAAGCACTTCATAGTTCTTAATCTGTTTATAAATTCAAAACATCATCTGTTCCTATCTCACAGGGAGCCATAACACACAGAGATTCAGTGACTTGCCCAATGTCCTGGCAGCTGTGATCCTTCTGACCCCAGGAGGAGCAATCTGGCTCCAGCACTCAAAGGGTTACTTTTGTTGTGGTGAGCAGGGGGCCACACCAAGGAAGCATATTATCAACGCCAACTGCTCTGGCTCTAATCCAGGGGGCAAGGGTGGATCTGAGGTGAGATCTGAAAGTTCCTTCCTATCAGGGATCAAAGCTCAGAGCTCTGAGCACTTCCCCCAGAAAAGGGGGGGTCAAGGGAAAAGGGATTGCTGTGGCTCCCCAGAGAGCTGCCAAAGGTTCCTATTCCCACCTCCCCAGATGGAAAACTATCATAGTGGACTCCAGGTGCAAGCAGGCTCTGCCTCTACCTCTGCCTCCCTGGAAGACCCTGGCCAAGTCACTGCTCTTCTCAGGTCACTGATTCTCTCCCTATGAGCTGGTGAGTTGAGCGTGTTAATGTCCATTACAGGATGTAGACCCCAGAGGAAGACTATGACCTCCCTAAGTCATACAGCTAAGAGGTAGAGTCTAGGAATCAAACCTGAGTGAGTCTGACATCCCTCATCTCCTGCTTTCCCATTATTCCACAATCTTCTGAATGTGCTTTCAAAGTTCTAGAGCATTCTGCAGAGGAGGAAGTTAATATCATTACTATTATTGCCATATCTGTCTTCCTAAGAGTGTTTGTGGAAAGTCTGAGGGAGGCATAAATTTTCATACGCATAATCTTTCCAAGCAGTTTGTCAATTTTTGGTGATGGTGAGTGGGACCTCTTGGATATTGGTTGGAATTTGGGCCAGAAGTCAGATGGTTCAATCTGTTTCCTCATTTGCTACCAGTATAGGCTTCCAGAGTAATTTCTCAAAACCTGTTTGCTCCTCTGTATGGTGGAATAAATACACAGACCTCATGGGGTTATTGGGAGAATTAAATAAGATCATGCATGTTATGTGCTTAGCACAGTGCCTAAAACATAAGTAAATTCAAGAACCAGAAGCTCTTTTTACTATTATTACTGTCTCCCAACAGCACTTATGAAGTTGGGCATCAAGTAGATCCTTAATACATCTTTTAGAATGAAATCGATTCTCCAAAAATGTTGTTCCCTTCAGAGTTCAGAGTCTACGTGTACTCAGAGACCACACCCACCTGCCAAAAGGTTGTCACTTGTTCTCACTGAGCTCCAGACTGAAACCACTGTAGGAGTGAGGCTTCCAGTTCTATGAGAGGACTGGCTGTTTCCCCAGACCCTTGTCCCTTGCCTCCCTGTGACACCAAAGTGCTAGCACTTGTTTGAGGTGTCAGGTGAAAAAATCACAGCCAGGATCTTCTATGTCTCAATCCAAACAGATGTGAGCAGAAATGTCACTGGAGTCATATGCCAGAAAGCTGGGCCCAAAAGGAACAGTTCTGGTGGTGATACACAGGACAAGGGGAGAGGCAGTGTCACACCACCATAACACACATCCTCAGCATCCTCACCCACAGGAAGCCAGGTGTGAGAAGTCCACCTTCTCCTAGTCATGGCATGCATTCCCCCAGGTGCAATTTCCCGCAAGTTTAATTGAAATGTATTATATTGGTTTTACTTCAAGCCAAAACCACTCCATCCAAACAAGGGTTCAAGAGATGCCGTCAAATGGCCATATGGCCAAGGGGATCCCTGATCTGTGTTGGGGCTGAATTAGGCAATTGTTTTTAAAGTCTGAGGCCTAAACACACAAAGCTTCTAAGATTCTATCAACTAAGAAAAGAGCAGATGCCACGTGTGCACAGGTCCACAGGCCAACAGGGTAGAAGGTGCTGCTGAGAGTGGCAAAGGCCTTTAAGGCCAAGCGAAGGAGCTTGGACTTGATTCTGAGGGCACTAAGGAGTCATAGGAGGTTTCTGAGCAGAGAAGGGACAGGATCAATGTATGGGCTTAGGAAGATGTAGCCTTCTGGCCACTGTGCCCAAAATGAGTCAGAGATTCTGCAAGGATGAAGACCAGTGAAGAAACACAATAATAAACTTAGCCATGAGCCAGGGAACACTAGCTGTTGGACCACTAGTGGCACCTATGGTGAGGACATTGGCACATAGTACTACCCAGCTCATGTGGAGCAACACACACAAAAGTGGGGAGCAGGACCCTGCTACCCTGCTGGAAGCTCTAGAATACAACATGCTGCAAGTTAAGTTTAACTGAGCACATGCTATGTACCAGACACTCTCCTCCTGGTGCTGGGGATTCAGCAATGAACAGGACAGACAAGATCACTGTCTTTATGGAGTTAACATGCTGTTGGGGAGGTGGATACCAAATAAATGAATAATGTCAGGATCACATCGGTAGAAGGAATGGTGATTGAAACAACCCAGCTGAGGAGATAATGGAGGATTCCCAATATCCACCTCCCATGAAGAGGAGCCAGGATTCAAACTAGGCACTGCACAGCTTCAAGTCTGTCATCTTTCAACTCCTAGAAGCAGTCTCTTTTTGAAGAGCTTATATGTGAGGCACACGTTCCAGTTACTAGTATCCTCCCTTGAGCCACAAAGCCCATTCATTTATTATTAGATTCCACAAAGATCTGAGCATATATATATATAGGCCAAGAACTGTTCTGGATGCTGTGGATATAACAATAATCTGGACAGTCATGATTTACAAACTGGCAGGGAAGACTGATGCTAAACAAATACACAGAGGTAGTTACAATTTCGTCATAACTGCTATGAGAATTACATATATATAGCAGGTGTTGTGAACTAGTCTGGAAGGGATTCTAAATGCGGTTTCCCAGAGGAAGTGACATTTAACTTGAAATTTAAACTCTCAAGAGTTTGTCAGGCAAATAGAGGGAAGAGATTTCCATGTTGAAGGAACAGCATGTGCAAATGCTAGTAGAAGCAAAGGAGCCTGGCACATTTGAGAAACTGAGGCTAGTGTGTTTGGAACCAGGAAATGAAAGGAGAACAGGTGCAAGACAAGGCTGGTGAGGTCCACAGGGTCCCAACAAGCAGGGCCTTCATCCCAGCCATGTTAAATGCAAGATTCTGGACACAGCTTGGGCTACAATGTCAACCCTGCCACCTTTCACCTGCTCTTCTATGTCAAGCCCCCTGAGCCAAGAATGTTTTATCCACCCATCAATTTCCCTCCAGTCGAGAATTTTCTCAGCCATTACAAGTATCTCTTGTCATCACTTCCCAAGAAATTCAGCTTCCTGGCTATCCCATGAAACATTTGGCAAGGTTTCAGGAGCCATCAGGTTGCTGGTGTTATATGGAATATTTACTAAGTGGATGAGTATTATCCCTGTTTCACAGATAAGCAAACGGAGGCTCAGAGAGATAAAACACACACATCTATTCTCTACCTTTTCTACACCTCATTTCTCCCCATTGTGTGGAATTTGGGAAGCTACATATTTCTGGTTGTTAGGATTCTAAGATACTGTGACATATGAGAGAGGCCAAATTTCAGGGAAACGTGCAGATTTCAGGGCTCTAAAATTCCAAAATCCTAAACCTTGACACTCCAATACTAGGTCCCTGGTCTGTTCTAGCTACTGCAAGCCTGGAGAAACTTGCGCCAGAAACGCGATACTGGCGCCTTCCGACAGCCAGGTAATCTAGTCCGGAGGCCTCGATGAGTGGGAACCAACAGGGCAGTCCCGGGTGGCCTATGCCCGGAGACAATGAGCTGGGGCAGGGGCGGGAACTGAGAGAAGGCGGGAGTTCCAGGTTCCGCCCCGGAGCTGACTTCCTGGTAGGCAGACACCCCGGGTTAGTAGCAGCGGTTGTGAAGGACCCCGGAGCCATGGAGCGCACACGGGACGCCATCCTGGATGCACTAGAGAACCTGACCGCTGAAGAGTTCAAGAAATTCAAGCTTAAGCTGCTTTCGGTGCCGCTGCGCGAGGGCTACGGGCGTATCCCGCGGGGCACGCTGCTGCCAATGGATGCCGTGGACCTCACCGATAAGCTGGTCTCCTTCTATCTGGATGCATATGGTGCCGAGCTCACAGCGCTCGTGCTGCGCGAGATGGGCATGCTGAAGCCGGCGGAGCAGCTGCAGATCTTCATGGGCAAGGGTGAGCACAACCCCCTCCACACCCTGCTGGGGGTTCAGGCCCCCAGGTCTCCTCCGGTGTTCCCTCATCTACACGGCCTGCCCCCATCGTTTGTCCCTCTGCTTTCACTTCCTGTTCCTACTACCCTATAACACTGTCAAAGCTCCTCGTGCCCAGAAGTGAGGCTTCCCCTGCCTGCTTGGTCAAGAGCTTCGCTTCCAGACCAAAGGATCCCTCAACCCCAAGACTGGAGATGCAATAGGAAGGGAAGAGAACCACTTGACTAATTTCCTTACAGGCCCCAGAGCTGCTCCTGCTGGGATCAAAGCCCCTCCCGAGCCGGCAGCCAAACCAGGTGAGGCCTTCACACCCAGCCTTCACCTGCCCGGGTGCTTCTCCAGCTGTACCCCACCACACCCCTGCACAGCCTGTCTTGTCCCATAGCCAGGAGCACTACGAGAGAACTAACCTGGGCCAACCCTGCCTACCCACATGTTCACACCTCCATGAGGTGAGCCTGGTTGGGAAAGGGAGCACTTTGCTCATCTCATTATCTGGAGTTCACCTTGAGACCACCCCTTGGATTACGTTCAGGGCAATTTCTGAAGTGTTCAGCAGGGACACCTTAGGTGTCTGCTCATCTCTCCTCCCTCCTGCCCCCAGCACTGCACTTTGTGGACCAGCACAGGTCAGCACTCATCACTCGGGTCACAGATGTGGACGGGGTGCTAGATGCCCTTTATGGGAAGATTCTGACGGAGGAGCAGTACCAGGCTGTGCGGGCAGAAACCACCAACCCAATGAAGATAAGGAAGCTCTTCAGCTTTGCTCCAGCCTGGAACCAGACCTGCAAGGATCTGCTCCTTCAGGCCCTGAGGGATACCCAGCCCTACCTGGTGAACGACCTGGAACAGAGCTAAGGCATCTTTCCCCAGCAGCACACCCCAGCAATTCCAGTCAACTCACCCCAAGTTTGATTTAATTCACAATATATGAAAACCCAACCTGTACTTTTGTGTGGTTTTCCTACTTCCAGCCTGGAAGCACACAGAGCTAAACTACACACCCAAATGCTGCAGAGGTTCAGGTAAAGCTCTATTCCACTTCCTGTTCCTAAGGCAGCACTCTCACAACATTTCATCCCTCCTGCCTGTTACCGCAGAGTATTACCTCAGTCACCAATTGGTGGCTCCCCCAGTGCTACCCCAAGGGGGCTGTCGAGACAATAGCTCTGTGAAGTTCTAAATGTTCAGATACAAAAAGTCTGGAACTTGGTGAGGGTGAGGTGCAGATTTGTCAGCAGCATTTAGAAACAGACTAGTCTGTATAGCTTCTCACTTTTTCCATGGGGGAAAACATGTAGAATTAGAGCAATCTTCAGGGGGAAGAGACAGGATCATCTCAATACAGGACAGAACACAAGCCATCCAGTATTAGTTCAAGGGTTCCTTCTGGCACTTCTGACCATCAGGCTTAATTACTCCCTCTGCTCCCTCCCACTCTCCCCACCTCCCACCCCCAGAGCAAGGGCTTATAAATTACTTTGCCCAGAAACCATGCCAACAAAAGCAGGACTTTAGATGACTTTTAGTAGCTTTTCTTCTCTTGATGCCTACGGAGGGAAATATATTTCTCACCAGGAAAACAGCACTTAAGGATCATTTCCAGAGGCTGCTAGGCAACCAGGATTCTAGAACTACACCCTCAGTACACTTTGCACCCAAATTTTCTTGCCTTGAAGAGGAAGATAAGTATCCAACAGTAGGCCCGGAGTCCCGGTATCCTATCCCTAGGATGTGGATCATCAGAGGGGATACTGGTGTGAGGGGTACAAAGTGATTGGTTCTGTGCCATTAACGACCATATACCAGCCCATAATGAACAAAGCTGTACAAAGACTTCACTTTTTATTAACCCTCACCCTACGTGACACAAGAATTAGCAAATGCAGTGTTTATTCCACACAGTCCTTCAGGAAGAATCTTAGAATATTCTAACATTTCCCTTTTCTGATCTTCTGGAAGTCACCAGACCAACAGAATAAATTGTTTGCTACAGGAGAAAGCTACCAAGAAACTAAAATACAGCTGCCAAGGCTTCATATGGTCACATGGAACTAATCCTACCGCTACTTGGGACTCCAGGAGGAAAGTTGAGTTTCCCCCAAAAGCAGGCATCACCCCTAACACTCAGTATCGTTGAAATTGAAATCTTTAGCCACCCACCCCATAAAATGTTGATATTCCGCATTTTATCCTCAACCTTCTTCTACCAAGTGTTCTTGGGTCTTACAATTCAAGCCTTATTCAATCCGTTTTGTCAAGTTCTATAAGAACGTTACCATTTCCAAAACTTAAGTTGTCTTTTACCATCCCTGAATCTCAATATATGGTTTAGCAGCAGCAGCCTAACCAGTAAGAAATACTATCATATTGCAAAGCCTAGACTGTCAGCCTTGCTCTTCCAACACCCAAGATTTAACATCTCACTTGGCGCTACTAGCTCTTTCAACTTAGGTCCAACCACCATCCTTTTCAATTTCACTGCCCCTACACCTGGCTTATGCCTGTCTTACTGACAAAAGTCCTCCTAAATGGCCCTCCTTGCCTCTACTCTACCACCTTCAAGGGCCTAAAAGTCAAAACTCATCAATGAAATGAAGGGCGGACACTAGCTCGGAAGTCTGCAAAAGTCTTCAGCACAGCTTAGTAGTTAAGGACCCAAATTCTCCCAAAGAGATTCTAATCTTGCTCTACCTCCCCCCTCACCAGCCATGACTGAAGGCCAGTTTGTGCCTCAACATCACCATCTATGAAATAGGGATAATAGGACATATTATGGCCCACAGCTAACAGACATTAAGTTAGCAACTATCTCCATTAGGATTTTGTTCCTAGCTTAGAAAACACATTTTTGGCTCAAATCTCCTAACATTGCAAGACTAAAAAAACAAGCCTGTTTACTGTGCCTGTGCTAGTAATTAGAACACAAACCCATACACAAAATCCAACCTTTCACGAGCAACGTTTCTTAGATCCTAACTAGTATTGTTTTATGTATAAAGTTTTGTACAAAGTTGCCTTCCCAGGAAAGTGGATTAAACTGGAAGGACTCACTGCAAAACTATAAAGCAGGGCTCTGAACCAGCAGCATCAATACTACCTGGGCCTACACTGCATCAGAATCTCCATGCTAGTAAACTGCCAAATGATTCATGTATGTGGTTGAACATAGACACATTGCCACAGACACTTGGCTCTCAGACAAGTTCACAGAGGCCTCACCATATAGGAACTTGCCTTTCCACTTGGGGAGACAATACACAAGATAGGTCTGCACTCCCTCAAAACTGGAAAAACCGGAAAAAAATTTCAAGTCCTGTCAGTCTAGACCTGACAGGTCCCCACCCCCAAAGTCCTGCAGTGAGCTCTAAGGACACCGACAGCTACAGGGAAACCATGCAGTTGAGCAACACTGCCCCCATGAGGTATGTACAGGATGCTGCCTGGGAAGCTTGGCTCATACTCTGTGCAGATTGTTTTCCTACCCTCACCCACCCCACTCACCCAACTGCCCTCCTTGGAGTTCCCCACTACAGCACAGGAGTTCTGTATCTTCAACCCAAAAGGCTAAACTCTTGTTTCCAGTTCCCACGCTGATGATTTTTTCTCTAGTTTTATTCCTGTTAGAGCCGTTCCCGCAGCACTTAACAGTCCCAAGATACAGGAACAAAGCCACAATCAAGAGCTGAGACAGAACTATCCAGCTGCGCAAGCACAATTTCCTGACACACACTTCTGCTCAATATACACTTCTGTCCCTGCCTCAAGGACACTGGGCATTCATTTTAGACTCAGTGATCTACAAAAGCTCTTATAAAAACTGCTAACATTGTTAAGAGTGGAGGCCCAGTAACTCAAGCCCTAAAGTAAAATCTGTGTGCCAAGATCACTTGATGCTACACTTCAGTTCTTTATACTAGCACCCTGAAGCATTTATGTATGCAGGCAGAACAATTTTTTATGGAAACTTTTAAGTTTAAAATTATTTCAGAGTAAGAAGTGAAAGATGAAAAGAGGCTAACTGCAGAGAACCCAAAGGTAGGAACCTAAAGGTAGTCTTTAGAGCCTGAGCTGGCAAGCTGCAGATGGAACCTGTACCTAACAGTTTAACCTCTTGTGTAGAGTGAGATATGGTTACAAAATCCATAGTGGATGAAACTGGAAATGGAAATACTCCTATAAACATGTCTTGAGTATATATATGTAGTATACAGTATATATATAGTATACAGTATATATACATATATAAACAATATATATAGAGTATATACAGACCTTAACTGCGGTCAAACTACCCAGACTTATCCTTAGCCCTATGTCCAAGTTACTAAAACCCAAAGAAGCCCAAACACTATGAGGGAAAGCTGAAAAGTCTAATAACCAAGAATTACATTAGAGGAAGCAGACCTTCAAGCACAGCCATCCCCACCCACAAACTGCCCTCACTTCTTGTTAGCTTGTGTTCATCCCCTTCAGAAAGCCAAGCACCTGGTGTTTCCACTGTTTTCAGTATTTTGATAAAAATATATCCTTTAGAATACAAAGGACTAGTCTAAAAATCTCACCAAAGAAACATGACTATTACTATCCAGGCTATTACAAAGGATGCAGCAAAGAACAGAGCCCGATGTACAAACCCCATGGGTCTCACTGACTTGTTCACCAATGATATGCTGGCACCAGAACCAGCTTCTAAGAACCAACCTTATTATTTTCATCTTCAGCCACTGTCCTGGAAAAGCCCTCAAAACTGGATCTACCTACTCATCAGACACCTGGGACCCTATTTTCCTTTACGGGCAAGGCAAATCACTGAAGGCATTAAGAACTTAATCCCAGTCAGAAATCAGGTCTTACATGGAGCTGTAACATCCTTCACCCCTAGTACCCCAGATCAAAGAACTAAACCCTAACTTCAAAACTCCAGCCAAGTGAGGCAGAAACAACTGCTCAAGACATGGATCAGGCCATCCACACCATAGTAACAGCAGAGTCAGTCTGACCACACCAAGAACTACCACACCCTTGGCTCTGAGCTTCTCAGCACAGCCTGGGAGGACCTAGCCATTCTCAGCCAGTTACAAGCACTCCCACTCAGGGAAGCCCCTTCGGACAAGTGTCATTTGCAGAAAGCCTTTGCTGGTGCCATCATCAGACTTGAGGACGCAGCAATGCTTCTCTAGAGAATACCTTCAGCATTCTTACCAACTTTCAAGAAAGCGCTTCCCAACCAGCAGTCCCAGGGACCCTAACAAGCTTTTCTTCTGACAAGCACTGTTTCTGCAACCGGCTTTGCAGTTCTATTTAATTCACACTCAACTGGTTGGCAGGTAAGAGAAGTTTCCAACTCGAGAGCTGGGTAAAGAGGTCCTTGGGGATCAGGAAAGATGTAGTTAGTGGCACTGTTCTGAGGTTGTGACTCACTGGCCCTCTTCCCTTATCTCCAAGGGGACAGGGAGGGCACCCAACCCCCACTAAGGCTAAGAACATAATACCGATGACCTCAGGAACCTAGGTATAGGCAGGACGTGAAAGCAACCCAGCTAGACCATCTTCCTCTAACAGGTTAATCTACCCAAACCTCACCTTCAAAAAAAGTTTAGGCAGGGGACTCACCTAAAAACCCAGAAACTGCCTCTACCTTCTTTCCCACTTACCTCTCACGTTATCCTCTTTCCCAAGCCTCTTCCATCAAATTTAACATCCTCTTAAGTAAAGCCTAAGCAAGCAAATTTTTGGGATGGCAGCATGTCCCCTTCAGAACAATGGTTACAGGATGAAAATGTTAACAAATGAAGTCACAAGACTAGAACACAATCCTGGCTCCATTTCCTGACTCGAGAGCCACATAACTAACACACACCTCATTTCTCCCTGTAGTGAGCAAGGCCACACCACCTCTGCTGAAGTTAGTGCTCAGTTATTCTTCCTGCAAACTCAAGTTAGCTACGGGGTCCCTGTCGTGGCCAAGTTTGAATACTGACCCAAAGGCAAACCTAATTTGCTTGAGCCCCACCTTAGAAAACTGTCAAAAGAGCCAGGGGTCCTTAAAAAATGTAAAATTGCTGTATTAATAGTTAACTTGCTAAGACCGGCACATGATAAACTCCCACATTGTTGGACAAGTAACACTCATGACATAACATATTTTACTCACTTAACCCACTCATACAAGCAATGTTTACCATGACAAAGTTTTATCTCCACCTTTAAGATGCCACTTGACCTTTCCCCCCAGACCAGGTATCAAACACTTTATTTCAGTTCCTGCTAAGCAGGAACATAAAAATTATTCTAACGCCTGCTAGGCAGGCTTATCTGAAAGAGGAAAAAAAAAAACCAGGAATACCCACATTCCTGACTCGGACCTTCCAGAAGAGAAAAGGGGGAAATGGGGGAAAAAATTAAGCAAAACAATGGTTTTTAATGGGAACGAGAGGTATGGTTACAATTACATAGTCAAAAAAAAAAAAAAAAACCCCATAGGTCATCAGGAGTTGTAAGGTTACAAAATAACAAGGGTTAACACTGGGTACAGGAAGAAAAGCTGTTCCAGAACCTCAGGAGCCAGGCTAATAGGGCCTCTCCCTGCGATCCTGTCTGTGCTCACCCCTGCAACAAAGAATATGCATTAGGTCAGTTACCAACCCCTCCACCTATCCCAAACCTCAAAATCCTAGCTTCCCCTACTACCCAACCCCAAGAAATGGCTCCTCTAAGCATATAGTACACATGTGGGTCTACAGATTTTAGTTCTCCAAGGTAATTTTCCTTCCCTTCTTCCCTTCACACTCATTAGTCATAATTTTCCAGTCTACCCCTCAAAGATGAAACCACTGCCCTCCAAAACACCTTGCTATTTCATGACCTCTTCTTCAATTTCTCTACTTTCATTTCAGCATAGAGTCTTACTTACCTGGAGTCCATCTTGCCAGGGCCAAAGCCACCTCTGTCCCCACCACCCCGGCCTCCTCGGAAGCCCCCACGGTCCCCGCCTCGGCCTCGGTAGCCACCCCGATCATAGCCTCCTCTGCCACCACGACGATCATCTCCATAGTTACCACCTAGGGCAAAATAAATGAAATATCATATCCCCCCAAACCCATCTTTCCTTCCCTCTAGACTTCCTGATTAAACTTAAGTTTTTTTTTTATCTCACATCCTTATTACCAGGCTCTACACCTCTTTCTTACCCATATGAGAGCCTCCTGGTCCCCCTCCTGGGCCATCTGGTTTAGGGGCCTTACACTGGTTGCATTCATTCCTCCAAGAGAAGTTCATGTTTTCACATATACTGAGAAAAAGTAAGACATTTAGTTTGGAGGGGTGAGTAGTAGTAGGCAAGACCTAGAATTAGGACAAGACTCCAATAAGGAAACTGAGGCCTCACAAAGACAAAAAGGCTTGTTTCTCAAACAGAGCCAGGAACAAAAATTATTAGTAATCCAATACTGGTCCAATACATTTCCCACTATTGCAACCTTATTTAGGTAAGTTCTCAGCCAAGTCTGCTCCCACCCACGTGTGTGGCCTTAACATTTATTACTTTGGAAAACACAACACTGCCTAAGTATTAAACAGAACACATGCAAAAGGACTGAGAAGAGGTTTCACTCACGGATTAGGACACTTCCAGTCACCAGCTCGCTGCTGTCCTCCACCACCACCACCTCCACTGGGGAACCCTCCCCGTCCACCGCCACCACTGCCACCTCCTCCATAGCCTCCACGGCCCATGGGTCCTATGGTATAGATAACAAAATGGTCTGCTGCCCTTTCAAGTTTGGGTAACCTAACCTTTTCTATGCAAGACATTACCATCCTCTCCTCTCCCCATCACTTTATAACAGCAGCAGGAAGTAGCTCCTCACCTCCTCGCCCTCGGCCTCCACGACCATTGCCACCACCCCGATTGAAGTCAGCTCGCCGAGTAGCAAAGGAGACCTTGATAGGATTCCCAGAAAATTCTTTACCTAAAATACAGGTGATATAAAAAGAGACTTTTTACTAAAGTCTGTAGCTCAAAGGCACAACTAGTATAATTAAGACAAGATTGCCTTCCTGAAGTTTCATAAGTTTCGTGAGATAAGCAAAAATGAAGACTATGCCAAAGTCGCAGATTAAGTATTGGAAGACTCAAAGGAACCCTCAAAAAGTAGCCCATGTATCCCTAGGTTAGTTGCCCTATCCCACCCACTCCTATACCAAGCCTCCTCATACATACCATCAAACCAGTCAATAGCTGCTTTAGCAGAAGGTGGGTCGTCAAATGATACTGTTGCCTCTCCCTTCAGCTTGCCCGTTTCCCTGTCTGTGTACAGATTAATCATGGGCTGTCCCGTTTTCTTATTTGTCTAAGGAAAGCAACATGAGATATTATCAGTCAGTCTCACAGGATACAGTGCTACCCACGTTCCACCTTCCCTCTCCAGAACCTGAGGTTTATCATAACCAAACTTCAGCTTCTCTCTGCCCAGTTACTGTTTCCTACCTTCACATATAACCTGAATTAAAGCTATTGGCTATAATTGTTTCTCACTTCGGTCACGAAAAGATAAAACTAGGTTATCAACTACAAATTCAAGTTTACAACGGTCCCTTTCCTATCCGTTTTGTCTTTTTCCGTTGGCAACAGCTCATGTTCTTTCCTTAACAAATTAAGCTGACAACCATTTATAGACTTATTTTTACTGTGTAAATAAAATCCAATAGCCTGCAACTCTGACAGGTAACACTCTGCTCCACAAGTACCTTAATAATACCAATCTGCTTGAAGTAATCAGCCACAGATTCGATTGTAACATTCTCGCCCAAGCCTTGCACAAAGATGGTGTTGTTGTCTGAATTATCCTGTTCTGCTTGTCAGGTGGCAGAAGAAAACACGAATTAGAAGAGAAAAAACAAAGGTAAAGCAAGTCAGTAACTCGTAATAACTTAACTCTAAGGAATACTTGACAGTAAGCTTAAAGAGAATTCTAAAGCAGCCAATATAAGTTGATTTTAAACAAATCAAAGAAATCCACATCCCGACTGTCCTGAGTGCACCTATATGCCAGTCATTTTACAAACTAGTTTAACCATGACCCTTTGAAATGTTAATACCCATTAAAGCTCAAAACTGAACTGGCCAAGATCAGTCAATATATCAGTGTTTGTAAACTTTCAACTTAGGACCCACAGGTAGAACTTTTTTACCACTAAAATTCAAGTTACAACCAAAAGACAAACTAAATGCTTCAAATTCAACAGTTACAACCAAAAGACAAACTAAATGCTTCCCTCCATGTGTCCTTCCATTCACTAACTTGGTCATGATCCACATTCTAAATTTTTAGTGTCCTCTACAAAGAGATGCATCAGCATTTCCTGAGACCTGTTAGAAATGCAGACAGCTCCTCCTAGGGCTAAACTGCTGGGAGAGGAAAGCCACTGATCAGATTTCTGATATATGCTCATTTAAAAATCACTGCTAACTATAGCTATACCTAAACTCCCTTTCCTTCATTTTCCCTTCTTTACCCTTTTGTAATTTTTTAATTAAGAATATCTGTAAAAAATCCTGGTAACCACTTTTGCCATTCTTTCAAGCCACCTGTGGACTCACCAGAGTCATGACGTGATCCCTGGTCGCGGAGGCCTTAAGTGACATGAAAAAAAAAGAGGAAAAAAAAAAAAAGAAAAAAAAAAAAAAACAAGGGAAGAGCAACTATTAGTCAACAGGCAGAGACAAAGAAAAAAAATTACACCAAATACAAACTCTTGCAAAGTATCAGATTAAGTATCAGCTCACAGACTCATCCAAACCCTGTCCTGGGTTGCCTGCCCAGAGAATATCCTAGACAGGGCTGGGAAGACAGGCCCCTTTTAAGATACTTCTATAACTTGAGCCCCCACGGGAACAACTCCACACTTCAAAAAATGCTGCCTCCCCTAGCTCAGGCTGGGAAATGTCCTCAGCACAGATTTGGGGGGGGGTGGCAGGAGGAAGACCCATTAAAGTTAAACCAACTCATAGTTTTGGCCCTGTTCTCTCATCCCAGAGAGAAATGGGTTTACCAGCAATGTGATATATGCATCCATCATCAAACTTTCAAAGACACTTATCCCTTGTGGAACAAGTTTTAATTTCATCTTGAGAAACCTTTAAAACCACAGTGTTTCCCCCAAAAGCACATGAAAATAAAAAACATACATAATAGCTATTTATTATTAAAGCATGTCCCAGGGAACAGACCAGAAATCTTACTTCCATAAGGCAGCCTCTTTTTTTTTTTCCAGAGACCATCTTTGACCAAAGTTTATCTGAATTCACCATGTATAAGTATTGTGTCCACACTCAGTGACACTTTAATCATGAACCCAAGCCTTTGGCTTTAAGTGCTGAGACAAATCAAGAAACCTTTGTTATTTAACCAAACCAGGAAAGTTCCAGCTTACTGGGAGACTTCTCAAATTTGCCAGTTTTCCATGAATTGTTTGTGCTGTTTAAGACCTGGTTATTTCCCATGAGCCACACATGCTCCAAACTTTTCTTGAAGTAGTCCACACCTTCCTTCCCAAAGCTAGTTTCTATTTGCCCAACTGAGTTGTTTATGTAAGTACATATATGTAAAATTGCAATGACACCATCCAGTATTTAATAAATATATACCAACTTCACCATCCTCAGAGCAGGGCAGTATTTCATAACCTTCTTCCAGAATTAAAACATTTGGAGTTCGTTACACATACACATATTACTTGGACACATTGATCAAAAGGATCCTAAAGCCAAGTTTATACCACGTGTATCCAGTTTCTCATAATGGTGGTCACTAAGTGCCAGGTGTGGCAACACCCCTCTGTCAGAGGCCTACTAAGCATCTATTAACCTGGGCCAAACCAATCTGGTACCAGACAACTGCTGAGGCTCACCCCTGCCTGTCTCCAGGTTAGCACACATCTGGTAACAGGCAGCATTCTACCCCACCCCATTCTGGAGGTGGTTTTGGACACTTCAAAACCTTTGACATTTAAAACACATTAAGACATCTGCAAATGAACAATCAGACAAAGCATTGCTGGGAGTTGGGAATTTTGGAAACTCTGTTCACTTACCACCAAATTTATTGAAGCCACCACGGTCACTTCCGCTGGAGAAGACAAGTTAGAAGAAAGGACATGAAGCTTCCAACGGCTACAAAAGGGCGTTTATTTTAATATTCCCCAAATGTAGGAGGTGTTTTGGGAAAAAGATTCAAGTGGCTACTAAAATGCATTCCCCTTCCTGACCACCCCTTTGTCTGACCTTTGAGCCTGTCACACACATGTGTGCAATTTTTAAGACACAGTTATATTTAAAAGGTTATATATTTATCTATTTCCTCTGGAAAAAAAAATGACCCTTTTTCCTTGGTCGTTCTTCCGATGGAGATGTTTTTTTCCTCTTGTCGTGAGTGGCTGACAAGCCAGTAGGTTGGTTTAAAAACTCTACCCCCAATTTACCCAGAAGACATTTCACACCAGGCTGGGGTAGCCCTGAACACATTTTTGTGGTTTTTTGCTTTGAAAGCAGCAAGCAGACCCAACCCCATTCCATAAAAAGTCAAAACCAAAGGCAATTTCCCTTAAAGCAAGACAAACTTAGCTAAGCCCTATCCTAACTACTGAGCTGTTTTTAATCTCCCCCCACCCCCGGGGTCACCCCTTCTACACTGCGAGAAGAGCGGAGTATTTTGCAATGTCACCTTTCATACCTGTGGCACATAAAATGCAGAGCAAGTTAACAGTCACATAACAGTTTTTCTTTTTAAAGTTTTGCATTAAACACACGCACACAACAGTTTTCCTTATCTTTGCACGGTTTTTTGAGATTGCTCCCACCCACCTCTGAATACTTACCACATTCAAACTCTTAAAACCTACTTTTTCCCTGAAAGGAGTAATACATAGACATTCCTCCCCTTTTTCAAAGGGATAGAGTAGCATCCTTCAAATGATTTTTACCAACAGATTTGACAAATAACTTTAACATCAAATCTAAGGTTTTACTTCAAATCAACTACAACAGGAAGGGGAGGAACATGTCCAACTGGAGAGGTAAAGTTGGACAGGTAACCAAGGTAAGGGGGACAGTGGAGCAAATACGTGGGATACCACTGTCAAACATTTTGTCCAAAAGGTCTGCACACTTCAGGTAGCCCCATAAACCAAATCACACACAAAATCTTTACTGTCAGTCCAATTAGTGCAAACCAAGCTTGTGAATTCAAATGACTACAGAAAATAGGAAGAGTAGCCAATTCCTGGAAGCTGAAGTCAGGTTAACCGCTTACAAATCCCTTAAAGGACACATGGGAATGCAAGTAACAAGTTTCCCTATTACCAGGAATGGGATCATCTGTTTTCCTTGCAGAGAAAAGAAGCCTTTACTTCCGTGTTTCTTGCCTAGGAGATCGATGACTCCAATCCATACACACCCATATATTTTTCATTTTTCTTTGGAAACAGACATGTCAGTAATCAAATTTCTATTCAGGTGTAGATAGGAGATTCAGGCTTACAGGTTCTCACAAAAATAAAACAGGGATGTTCAAAAAAAACAGTCAATGCCCCCAAATAGGGCCCTCACAAATCCCTAGAATAAAACCACCCATGCACTGAGGGACAGGGAGATTCATGCAACCCCCCACACTCCCCACTCATGTTACTCTCTGGCTCACAGGACACCTACCCCATGCCGCCTCTGCCTCCACGGCCACCTCCACGACCTCTGGGTTCATAGCCACCACTGCTTCGGTTGTAACCACCACCACCGCCCCGGCCACGGCCCCCACGGTCCTGCTGGCCTCCCCCGTAGCCACCACCGCCACCACCACTCTGGTCCTGATTGCCATAACCACTGCCGCCACTCATGGAGGGCTGATCTTGGCCATAGTTACCTGTCAAGAAAGACAGACTGCTTAAAAAAAAAAAAAACTGTGCAGTGGCATATAACAGTTCAATAATGCCAGCATATAAATAAGAAATATAAACACAGCCAGGAAACAATGAAATCAACATTTTAATGAACCCTTTTAGTTTAGGACCAAGCAACAGAATATAAATCCTTGCAGAAAACAGGTATAAGACCAAGCTGAAGACACTTTCTCACCTCCACCACCTCCTCCTCCACCACCTCCACTGCTACTATTGTACTGGTTCTGCTGTCCATAGCCCTGAGGGGGATTGTAGGAGCTTTGTGGCTGGCCATAGCTTTGTTGTTGTCCACTGTAGCCAGACTGCTGGCCATAGCCCCCACTCTGGGGCTGCCCATAGCCGCTGCTCTGAGAACTGCTACCGTAACTACGGAAAAGGAATAATAATAATGCCAACATTAACAAAACTTCCTTTCACTTTTGGTGAAACAGGGATGTTCAAAGAAAGTCAATGCCCAACACCCACAACTACCAAGACATCCCCCTCCCATTATTCATAACTACTACTTGTGCTGGTCACATTACCATTCCTGATCTCTCAGGCCTTACCCCTCAAACCCCCAACACAACTTCTTACCTTCCAGAGGTGCTACTAGGAGCTGGCTGCTGACCATAGCCAGGGTAGGAAGACTGCTGCCCATAAGACGATTGAGAACTCTGGCTACTACCATAACCACCAGCTGAGCCATATCCCTGGGGAGCTGACTGAGTGCTATAGCCTGCTAAAAGAGAAGAGAGGAAATCACAAAAGCTATGAGTTTAAAGAAAAGGCATGGAATGGGTTTAAGAAAACATTACGTACTAAATGCTACCCGTACTTGGAAAGTCATCCTCTTTAACAAGCTGCTTGGGAATCTTTAAACTTTTAAAAATGGCCTTCTCTTTTACCCAAAGGTCAATGTTCCAACTTCTCTACCAACTTCTAAATTCCAATCTCATCCCACCCATCCTGAAGGCAGTCTCCAGGCCCACCACTACTCACGGCTCTAGTTAAGTCCCTATTCATTAACAGCATTTTAGCCTGCTCTATGTGTGCAGAACAAATAGGCCAACCACATTATATACATACATTTCAGAACCTTAGGGCAAATTCCACCTCCATGTTTATCATGTGATATACAGTAGTCTGACTCCGAACACCAAGAAAATCATTTTCTCCCAGTATCAAAAGCCTAAAACTTTCTCCCTTTATTTAGCGAATGCTCTTCCCCATCTCACTTTCATACTAAGGGAAAATGGGGCATAAGTGCAGCATAAATAGAAAAAGCCAAAGAAAAAAGGAAACAATTACAAGCCAATAAGCATTTTTACTTCAAAGGACTCAAGACTCCAAAGAATTTTAAAGGTTAATAGACTGGTTAAGGGAAAAGAAACATAGTACAGTTTCAACATTTCAGCACTGCTTAGCTTTAAGAAAAACAACATTCAGAAAGAGCAGGAGGAGGCAGTGTGACCCACTAAAAGAGACTCACTGTTTTGGGTCTGTCCGTAAGAACCACCATAGCTGCTCTGACCATAGCCTGAAGTGTCTGACTGGCCATAACCACTGTAACTCTGCTGTCCGTACGGCTGACTGCTCTGCTGGGAATAGCCCTGCCCAGGCTGGGTGGGGTAGGCCCCATAGCTGGAGAAAAAGAAAAACACCATCAAGGAAGATACCTTAGCCACTCTTGCCCTCTGCAAACTGTGGAAATCCAGAAATGACACTAACCTTTGCGTTGCTTGCTGGGTATAATCTGCAAAAGAAAAATACAGCTACATTACCTTGAGTCATCCCCAACAAAATAGGGCTAAATTTGCTAAATTCCTTACCTTAAATGTGGAACCTCCAGATAAGAAAATCAATGAACAGTAAAGGGCAGAAATTCCCCCAAAAGACACTCATTGAGAGGAGGGTCAAGCTGGCATATCAAACAAGTTTTCTTACAATAAAGAAAAGCAAAGAAAATAATTTCTAGAGACTAACAGCCTTAACTATTGTAAAAACCAGGAGTCTTAGTGGACAACCACAATCTGCAAACTCAGCTGATTCCAGAAACTGCATAGATTCATACACATTTCGCTGTCACTCCCACTCTATGGGAAGATACGGTCAAACCAGTCACACGGCTTACTTAAGTGGTACATGTTTTCATTCACGCCCGAGGCAGCAGTGTTCAGAATGTGGCCTCCACTTTCTCTACGGAGACCCCAAAGAACAGGAAAATCTCAAGAGACCAACTCTTCACGCTTTGCCCAATCTTGACTGGGAAAGTGGGCTTTTAGTGTAAAGCCAGGTAACCAAGAAGAGAGCTCTATGACCCCCAAATGACAGATCATTAAAGTGCCTGCCTCAGAAGGCAGTCAACTGGTCCCTGGTAGCCCTGTGGCTCCAATTTTTACGTTTCCTCACCTACCTTGCTGTCCTCGCAGCTGTAGAGAGACTCGGCTAACTAAAGGTAGAGAAATCCCTTTTTGAAGGCCACAGTGGAGGAACTCAGCCAGATCAACTAATCTCCTCAGTATGGGAAAGAGACACTTCCCCCTCAGGAAAGGGCAAAGGACCGAGAGGGAATGCAGCCACAGCCGGACGTTCCTTTCATTCCCTCCCCATAAATTCAGGCGGGAAACCCGCAGGCCCTATGCCCCCGCCCCCAAGTCCGTTGGACGATACCTCCCCCCACGGGCACCCCCACCCTCCCCAAACCGTCAAGCTGGCGCGCGGCCCCGATCCCGAGCGTCCGCCCGCAGCCATGTGGCAACTAAGGCGGGAACATGACGGCCCCGCCCCTTCCCGAGGGACCCTGGGAGGCGAAGCTCCACACCAGACGCGCTCCACAGACTCTCCAGCGGAGGGTCTCGCAACAAAAAAAAAAAAATAGGCCCGGCACGAGGCGGGAGGGAGGCCAGCGCCGCGAGAAGAGGAGGAGCCAGCAAAGCGCCTGCGCGCACAGGATCCCCGGATGCGGCACTGCGACAAAGCGGGCTGAGCGCGGACCTGGCAACAAGAGGTCAAAAAGACTACGGCGACCGACCGTTTTCATCTTTGTCTCAACGTTTCGTAGCACGAAAAAGCGTCTCTCCCAACCCTCACATCAAGGGAAAACCTCCCGCCCCACTCAAGGCACCGGAGGAGCGAAACAAAATGGCGACATCGGCCTTCCCCTTCCACCCTTCTTGGCAGCCTCCCCGCCACACTGGTGCGAGAAAGACCCTACACGCGATCGTCGCCTGGGTCCCACCGAAAAACAAACCCAGATGGGAGGGAACGAAGCCCTTGGCCGGCGAGCCACCACCACCTCGCGCCTTTACATACCGTTTGAGGCCATGTTCGCGCACCCGCGCACAAGCCGACAACTAACAGCGCTAACACACTACAGATCGCCGACGCCTCAAGACTGAGCAGACCCGCCTCCTGCGTGGAGGTTTATGTACACCTCCTGCTACGTACCGCGGAGGAATGCACCAAATGCGGAGGGAAACGGGGGGACATGGCCGGACTCCTGTCACTCTTCAGGAAATATAGAAGATCCGAGCAGACAGAAGGGTAGTATATTAACTAATGACCCTGTAAATAATACATACGAATATAGCTTCGGAAAAAGCACTCTTTATTGCTCTGCAGGACTAGACCACGACTCACGTCCACCCTATAAGGGCATAATGGTACTGTCTGATTAACCTTTGGGGGCGGGACGAGGGGCCCAGGGCGTTTGGGGGCGGTACTGTAATCGAAGCCGGGAGTGGCGGGGTGGGAACCGAAATTCCTCTGGTGGCCCCTTTCACTGGGCCCCGCTTTCACTCAGGATAACGAGTTCTGCGTTCCATTGCCCTGCCACTGCGCCAGATGCGTGGTCGCTCCCGCACCAACCTCCGTCTCTGGCTTTAATGTTCCTCCCCAACAAAACACACTGGCTCCTCACTTTTCCCTGTTCTCGACTTTCATTTCATCTTTTAGGGCTGTGTTTCCTTAGTCCTTACCAGGGTTTGTGGATTGTAATGTTAGATTTGTAAGAAAGCACGGAGTTTAGCCCGACCCCTGAGTCCTCGTCTGATGACCCACCCAAACCCTCAGGGCTTTGCCCCTGACTAGCTGTGGGACGGGACAGCCCAGGCACTCTGGACCTCAGAAAGCGTTGAAATTAGGGGTCTTCCAGCCTTTCCCTGATAAGGAGCTATTTTTTTATATTCCTATATCCCTACGAAGAACCTATGTGGAGATACAGTAATAACTGGTATTTGAATAGGGCTTAAGTGGTTTCGAAACGGCACAATTGCTTTCCCATCACAATCTCATGAAGAAAGTAAAGGTGTCTCCATTTTATAGATAAGAAAAGTGAGACTCAAGAGAGGCCAAATACCTATCGTCCACTGTTATAGAGAAGCTAAGGGTCAGACCTGAGTGGAATCCAGGTCTTCGTGGCTGCAGAACACTACTTGTGTTGTTCCCATGAACACTTTGCAGGGTTCTGAAGCTTGTCACGCCCTATGACAGCAAAGACAGTGAGATTCAAATTGCACTCTCATCAGCCTTGCCTGAATAAGGAAATTTGACAGTACTGAATACTACAAGACAAAAAAGGTAATTCCTAGTAAAGGTGCCATTCAGAATTTCCTTCCCAACTTCCCTTTGACCTAGGTTCCAGAAGTTCCTTTGTAGGTTGGACACATTTTTCTAGAAAAACAATTGAGAGCTATGCCCTAGACCTGCCCACAGGCTTCTACCAAAGTCCTGATGGAGGACCTAATGGCCCTTGAAAACCCTGACACCCACCCCATTCCCATTGGGAAGGAAGCATGATTCTGGAGTGAGGGCAAAGGGAAGTCCATCATTCATTCAATCATTAATTCTCCAAATATTAAGCACCTATGGTGTTTCAGGCACTGTTCTGGGTACTGAGGAAACATTAGTGTACAAAACAGGTTAAGCAATTTAATAAAAAAGCAAACATTTGATAATGATAATATTTATATGTATTTTATATGTGTCTAACATAATAATGTAACACTTCAATAAGGCTTACTAAATATCAGGCACTGTTCTGAGTGCTTTAAGTATGACTTGTTTAATTTTATTCTTCACAATAAAGGATTACCTTTTGCAGTTGAACAAATAGGCATAGAAAAGACAAAAGCTATACCAGGGCTACACAGAAAATGGCAAAGCTAGGTTCCCAACCCAGGCAGCCTGGCTCATAGTTCCTGCTCTTAACCCCTGTGCTTCAACAAATATCCCTTGAGCACCACATAGTATCTGCCAAGCATGGAACAAACCTAGAGAGAGGAGGATAAAAAAGATTTAGCCCTTCTAGCCAGCAGGTGAGTTGTGGGTGAAACCCACAGACCCAAAAATATACTTGAATCAAATGTAGTAAATGATATAACATGGAATCAAGGATTCACCTTACAGGATAAACAAGGGTTCACCAAAGAGTAAGAGGAAAGGTTGTAACAAGCAGAAGAATGGCAAAGACAAACGTATAGGTGGGGAAGAGCACTCATGAAACACAGTAACAGACTAAAATTGTGACCTCTGAAAGACCACATCAAGTGACCATTTCTCAAGATTTATCTTTCTCAGTGTGCCTTTCCTGAATCACATAATACAGAGGCCTCCCATTCCTCCTCAAAAGTATCCTGATCCCTGCCCTCCTACCTTTGCCACTGTCCATCTGTCTCCTCCTGCATTCTCTTCCTCTGCTCAGCCTATAGATAGCAGTATTCTCCAGGATTCTGTCCTCTTTGCTTCTCCCTCAAGACCCAAGGTCCTAATTGTGACCTGGTATGAAATGCAGCCTGCAGACAGGCTTTGTGTAGCCTACATATTGTTTTGTTTTGTTTTTTAACTAGCTGCCAACACTAAAAATAGGACAAAAATCTCAACTTCTGGCTTTTCTTGAAAATTGGAAGCTCTGGTCATCCTGGGCCCTCTTTCCCATAGGCCAAAGGTCAAATGGAGCAAGAAGCCACTGAGGCATTTATATCAGATGTTTAATGCAGGTTTCTTTAGAGTTCAAAACAAGAAAAATATTCCTTCTCTTCAAATGTAAGAAAACCAAAGCAGGCTCTGGTTTTCAGGCCTCCAGCAGGCCCTTGGAAATTGTTGGGTTTTTGATCAGTGCCCAGATAAGGGGTTCTTAACCTCTTTTTGTGCCAGAGACTAGTGAACTCTGTAGACCCCTTCTTAGAAGAGTGTTTTTAAATGCACAAAACAAGCTTTGTAAAAATACAAAGGAAACCAATTAAATGGAAATACAATAATCAGAATATTTCTTTTAAAAAATCTTTATGCTCTAATATGCAGATCTGATAGTATAATAACTATGTTAACTCTGAAGTTGAGTAGAATGTAAAAAAGGTCTTAAGATTCCTGCAAAAACTACAACATGACATAAAAACTTCTGAGATTGGTAGCAAAGCCCCCGAAACTGCTATGATTTCTTGCCTATAGACATCATGTTAAGAAAAATTTAAATGTCAATTGGAGGTTAGTGAAAGTTAAAATGTAATTCCTCAGGCCCCTAGCTGGGACTGCAGGTCAAAAACTGGCTCTAGACAGTCTCATCCACACATGCTTTCAGCTGCCTGATGTATATGTGCAGCCATGACCCTCCTGAATTCCATGCCTGTCTCTTGACCATCTCCAGCCCAATTTTATCAAGTAAATGCATCACCCAAGATTGGAGGCAGCAACTATTTGTAAGAAGTTCAGATGTTCTGGCCAGTATAGCAGTACAGCCCAGGCCTTTGGTCCTTCAGGAGTAGCTCTTGTGGATCATTAGTTGGGTAGCTCTTAGTATCATTAAAGTCAATGGCATGAGGCAACAGCACTGGAATTACCATTAAAAAGTTCTGTGGTGTTGTTGGCCACTTAGCCTGGTGTGTATTACTGGCTGGGAAGCATCCAAGCTTGACTCTTGACCCTCTCAGAAATTTGATAACCACCTATCATAATCCCTTTCTGCTTAAACTAAAATGAATCATGTTATCTGCAGCTAAGAATTCCAACTTATGTCATTGTCATTGCAGCATTGTCTGTATACCAAAGTATTAGAGACCACCTAAATGCCTATCAATAGGAGATCTGGTTAACTTAATTATCACACACCAAGGTTTCTCAGTCTTAATGCTATTGGCATTTTGGGGCAGATAATGGTTTGTTGTGGGGGGATCATCCTGTGTATTGTAGGATATTTAGCAGCATTCCTGGCCTCTACCCATTAGATGTTAGTAACAACCTCCAGTTGTGGTATCCAAAATTGTCTCCAGGCATTGCCAAATGTCACTGGGAAAGTGAAGCAGGGGAGAAGTCACCTCAGATTGATAACCACTATGTTACAGATATACTTGAGATCAAGAAAATGAGGTGGATCCGAATACACAAATATAAAGACTATCCCAGCTGTATTATCAACTGGAGGGGGGATCAAGGTGTTGGACAATGTGTGCATTATGCTATTATTTGGGTTTTATAGGTGGGAGGGAGAGTTCCTGATATATATGTGTGTGTTTATGCATAAAATATCTCTGGAAGAAGAAAAAACTAGTAAAGATGGTTGTTTCTGGGAAACCTGGGGTCAAATGTGTGAAGAAAACTCACTTTTCCCTGGATCCTCTTTTAAATTTAATTTTTACCATGAATGTATATTGACTGGTTCAAAATGAAGTGGACTCTTACAGAGAAGCATGGAGGAAGGTGGTTAAAGGATTTTGCAGGATAGGACTGTGGAAGAGAGATTATGAGTTCTGTAGTGAGTTAAGCAGGATGGGCTGGCCTTCCCTGAGGCCATGATGTTTCAGCTGGGAGTTTACCAGGTAATCAAAGCATTTGTCTGCCCAAGAAGGCAGAGAGAAGGAAAGAGGGAGGAGACAGCTTGACTGAGAACCTGTCCTAGTAGCCAGGCTCTTTGGCTGTGTACCTGCCTACAGGGCCTGGGAGGCAGAGCAGGCAACGCCCCACTTCTCAAGAGTGTTCACTGAGTCTTAAGAACAGTGTGGAGAGATAGGATGTGGGCTTTGGGCCAGACCCAGGCTATTTCTAGCTTGCAGCATGTCTGCACAAAGCAGAAAAAGACGTCGTTTCCTTCAGACTGGCACAGCCCATGCAGCCTAAGACTTGGGGAAAGAGGAAGAGCTAAATTTCACTCAGCCCCAGTTAGCCTCTCGGAGATGACTTTTCTGCAGGACAAAACCTGTACCTTCCTAAACAGAGGCCCTGAGATATAAGAGGGCTCTGCTGCTTCACAGCACTCAAAACAGGAATAAAAACATCACCCTCCTAGGTCTATTGTGAATGTCAAATGATATTTCCATCTGTGAATCACCTGGTCTGGAACATAGAAGGCCTGAATAAATTTCCCTATCTCTCTCACCCATTCTTCAATATACTTGGCTTCAAGCAAGAAATAATTGCTTTATTATTTCCTTGAGCAG